AGATTGCCGGGGGCCAAATGCGTCTTGTGCACCAGCAAATACGTGCGTTGGCCAGAGCCACACAACCTACACGAAGGTGGTGCAAGCGGACGGGGCATCAAATGAGAACTCCCTCAAAATCCCACGCAAAGAGTTCACCAGGAACAGATGAAAGTGTAACTTTATTTACGGATACTGAAGGGAATTTTGAAGTAGAGACCCAGAAAAATGTCTCACCTGTTGTTGGGGGAAGCAAAGCGCTTCTGAATATGAAGCGAAAGAAATGATTCATCGTCACTGGATGATGTGCATGTATTTTAAGTACCCATGGCACGATGCTGTTGTAGAAAATAGTGTTGATGTGTTGGTGGGCTCTCGCAATGCGATGTACAGGGGTGTTAGAACCCAAAAGAACACACAGAAAGAGGGAAATGATTCAAGAACTATATAAGTACACAATACATACATATACAGATAAGGGTACCAATGAAGAGCTTCTCCTGAAATCCTCTTCCGTTGTTGTTGTTATTGTTATTGTTGTTGTTGTTGTTGTTTTTATATTACGAGTTGAGAGGAAAGGCTGGTACAATATGTGTGCATGTGTGTATTTATCGCTGCTTTTTGCCGTGAGTGCAGTTTGGCTTGTGTTTCTTGTTTTCGGGACTTGCTTGCTGGTTTCTCTGGGAGGTGACTGGGCGTGTGGGTGTCTGAGTGTGTGGGTATGCCAAATGTGATTTCTGTATTTTACCGTTTGTCTCTCCCTCTCACTGTTTCTCACTCTGTGTGTGTGTGTGTGTGTGTGTGTTTGTGGAGGATGGAAGGAATCATTCCTCCCATTGTTGTCCATTAAAATGGCAGTGGCACTTGAAAATGAAATGAGGAACGAGACCAAAGTACGGTGGGATGACTCGTACCCACAAAATCAAATGTTGTGGCCTCACATCCTCCGCCGCCCCCTGCCTCCTTTTGGATTGTTTGTGGATATTTTTTCCTGCTTTCCCATTTCCTTCATACTGCAGTAATATATACATATACATATGTTACTGAACTTGTAGTCTGGGGAAAGAAAAAGGGAAGAAACACGCACTTGGGAAAACTGAAAAGAAGAGTTTTGTTTCTTTCCACTATTCAGTCTAAATAGAATGCCAAAATGTTCAGGCATCGTTGTCGTTAAGTCGCAGCAGCCCAACAAGATGACTCCTATGGAAGATGATGGCAGCGTAATGGCTGTTCTTATGGGGATTCTTATTCTAATCGCCGTTGCCACCATTTGCGGTAGTGGTGGCCTCTGTTTAAGCTGCAGTGATGGGTCGCACACGTTCCCTGGCAGAGAGAGCCAAGACGGTGTGTCCCACGCGGCCTGCATTTGATACCGCGTTTGTAGGGCAGGCATGGATGGCAAAATACACCAATTGATACCAGTTTCTATGAAAAAATTTGCGGAGGGAATTTGCTTCTGGATGAGGCGCCGTCAACCAGAGAGAGAGAGAGAGAACAGAGAGGGAGAGCAGCCTGTTTACATGAGTTGGCTTTGTTACTTCTGAATTTGATGTGTGTGTGTTGTTGTTGTTTTTTCAATCGTGCGTGCCGAAAGGCAGCGAGGGTTGTTTATTGTTTTTGTTGTTTTTCTTCCTCGTCTCAGCCTGCCCGTCCCAATCTTCCCTGCAGTTCTCCAAGTTGAGGTGGTCGGCTGCGTCAGGGGAATTCGTCATTTCATGATTAGCCCGGTTATCATAAAATGCCTTTTGAGTTCGTTTGGTTGCTTTTTACCGGTGTTCGGGTGTTGGTCGAATATCCGCTGAATTGTGGGGAATTTTCGGGTACAGTGAGCCAAACTGTGACCTTCCGACGGTCACTCCTCCTCCTCCTCCTCCTCTTTCCCTCTGGGAAAAGGGGAGAATAATTTGGTTAGGCGCATGTTTTTTCTTTGTCTGTTTGCTGTTTTAGCTGCGCACACTCTTTCTAAGGAGTGATGGGTGGCATGTATGTATTTATTTGTGTGTTTATGTGTGTGTGTGACGAGGGGGGTATGAGAATATCTGTGCGTCCCTGCTTTCCGCTAGGGAGATGTGCATGTGAAATACAACACAATATCTTCCAACTGTATGCATGCGCAATGAAGTGAGTAAAGGGTAAAAAAAAAAAGAGAAACGAAACGAAGGGAAGGGATGGATCTAGATGCATTCCTGAATAAAAAGAGCAAGAAGCTCGCGGGGGGAAAAAAGAAGGCCAAGACGGGCGAGCTTTCGGAGAAGGAGCGGGCGGAGCTAGGATTAGACGTCTTTGGCGGACTGGATAGCGCCCCATCCATCACGCCGGAGGTGACGAGAGCGGGAAGCGGCCACGTCCCGAGCAATGAGGGGACCGTCGCGTCCCCCATCGACAATCGCGTTTCGGGAGTCGTCACTTTATCAAGCAGCGCCCCCGTGGAGGCAGTCGCCACTGATGCCCTCGAGGAGGACGATGGGGATCACACGGAAGTAGTTATGCAGGTGGTCAAGACATCCGAAAAGAAGGTGAAGGGGTGGGATGACGTGAAGCCGGCGTCTGCCTCCGTGGGGGACTTGCTGGCAAAGGCAGCCGAAAAATCCGGACCGCGAAGATTTGTGGCTCGTGGGAAGGACGAGTCAACGGGACCGCTGGGGCGCGGTGCAAACCTCAGCTCTGCCGACTTGCCAACACTGGAAGAAGTTGTGAGTGGGAATGCCAAAAAGACGGAGTCTTCCCCGGCGTCTCCGTTGGAAACGGCTGGCGCCAAAACAGCTGTTTCTAGTGGCGTCTACCAGCCACCCACGGAAAAGCCGTCTATGAATGCAGACGTGCCATCAACTAACAAAACTGAGGGAACACCGATTTCGCCCACGGAAAAGTCTTCGGCTGGAGCATACAAGCCACCCACAGACAGGCCATCGGCCGGTGCGTACAAGCCACCCACAGACAGGAAATCGGCCGGTGCGTACAAGCCACCCACAGACAGGCCATCGGCTGGTGCGTACAAGCCACCCACGGAAAAGCCGTCTATGAATGCAGAGGTGCCATCAACTAACAAAACTGAGGGAACACCGATTTCGCCCACGGACAAGTCTTCGGCTGAAGCATACAAGCCACCCACAGACAGGCCATCGGCCGGTGCGTACAAGCCACCCACAGACAGGCCATCGGCTGGAGCATACAAGCCACCCACGGACAGGCCATCGGCTGGTGCGTACAAGCCACCCACGGATAGGCCATCGGCTGGTGCGTACAAGCCACCCACGGAAAAGCCGTCTATGAATGCAGAGGTGCCATCAACTAACAAAACTGAGGGAACACCGATTTCGCCCACGGACAAGTCTTCGGCTGAAGCATACAAGCCACCCACAGACAGGCCATCGGCTGGAGCATACAAGCCACCCACGGACAGGCCATCGGCTGGTGCGTACAAGCCACCCACGGACAGGCCATCGGCCGGTGCGTACAAGCCACCCACAGACAGGCCATCGGCTGGTGCGTACAAGCCACCCACGGAAAAGCCGTCTATGAATGCAGAGGTGCCATCAACTAACAAAACTGAGGGAACACCGATTTCGCCCACGGACAAGTCTTCGGCTGAAGCATACAAGCCACCCACAGACAGGCCATCGGCTGGAGCATACAAGCCACCCACGGACAGGCCATCGGCTGGTGCGTACAAGCCACCCACAGACAGGCCATCGGCTGGAGCATACAAGCCACCCACAGACAGGACATCGGCCGGTGCGTACAAGCCACCCACAGACAGGACATCGGCTGGAGCATACAGGCCACCCACGGAAAAGCCGTCTATGAATGCAGAGGTGCCATCAACTAACAAAACTGAGGGAACACCGATTTCGCCCACGGACAAGTCTTCGGCTGAAGCATACAAGCCACCCACAGACAGGCCATCGGCCGGTGCGTACAAGCCACCCACAGACAGGCCATCGGCTGGAGCATACAAGCCACCCACGGACAGGCCGTTGGCTGGTGTATACAAGCCACCAAGCAAAAACAATGCCCTTCCAAGCAACTAAAATTATTTGAACTCAAGAAATTGTCCGGATTTCCGCTTCTATTATTATTATTATTATTATTATTATTATTATTATTATTATTATTATTATTATTATTATTATTATTATTATTATTATTATTATTATTATTATTATTATTATTATTGTTTGTTTAGACCCTGAGGGGAGGCCCTGGAACCCACTGTCAAAGAATTTGGGAGGGAATTGCCTTTTGGAGTGGTAGGTCTGTGGATCTAATATGAGGAGCGAGGGAGAAGATTATTTTTTTTATTCTACTCTTACCAACACGTATATCTACACTGTGTGTAGCGCTGTTAATCATCGACGGAATTAGGTAGCGGTTAAAAACCCCGCTTCTCCGGTAGCGTTGATAAGTGGCTCCATCTTTTGCCCTTCCGGCCCTTTTGCTTCCTCCCCAGCAGAGGGATTAATAGACCCTGGCAATATGTTGAGGTGGCCGGCTGTTACAGTATACGGGAGGAGAGTTGTATACTGTACCATCGTCTAGCGTCCCGGATGAAGGAGGCCGAATGTGAGAAAGCCCTTGTAATCTGATGCATTCTATTAATGTGTGTTTTGTAAAACGAGGGATAATCAGGAGCTGACCGATATTTTCCCTTTTAGTGAAGATTGGTGTCGTAATAGCCATAAATCTTTTTTCTCTTCTTTCATGTTTGTTTCTCTTCTTCTTTTTCTTTCTTCTCACAACACAACTGACGTCTTGAAATGTCATGCAAAGACGATCTATTAAACTAAAACCGCACATAGTACCCCGTGGGTTTTGTCGTATATACATATACGATGGCAGGGACGACCATTCCATTTTGTATTTTTAAAGATGGCGATCTTTGCGTGGAGTCCTCAGCGCACCCTGAACAAGGAGCCCCATCGCTTTTGATTTCTCTGGAACCACTTCTTTCTTCTGTGGTGCGTGCAAAAAGCTCTTTGTCGGCTAGGGCAAACGCCACGGAGAACGCTTTGGTGTGTCACCTGTCTGCATGGAACAAAAGGGAAAAATTGTCTCTTATAGCCTCCCTCCGTTCATGCATTGAGGATGCCTCACCTTCCAATATGAACGCCCCCAGTACATCTGATCTTCTTGGCGTTACTGAGGTTGGTGGTAGCTGTGAGGTTAAATGCGTTTCTCCCGGCCAGCAGACGAGAGAAGATTCCTTTTCTCTTAATAATGCCTTTGTGGAAACCGTTGTTCGTGGGTCCTTTTGGAGGACTTTTGGCCGTAGGGGAGGCAGGGACACCAACCAAAAGGGTGTTATGTCGGATGGGGAGATGCTAGATATGGAACGAGTTCACACCAGGGTACGCGAATTGCGTCGATTCTTGCAGCAGCGCCATGAGAGTGAATTCAGAACCAAAAAGCCTACCGCAAAATCAAGTGGATTGATAGATGTTCAGGGGCGAAGAAAGGAAACCGACGAGGAAGAAACAGTGGACATGAAGCGCTTGCTCACAATTATGACAGACTCAACAAGGGGACGTTCGACCCAGAGTGTGGCCTTTGGCGGCAATGAGCCATTCCTGGTAGGGCTTGTTTGCCGCGAACTGACTGCGGGGTCGACCCCCAGTGTTCTCTCCGTGCGTCCTCTTGTCACGGCGGGACTAACAACCACCTCCTGTGAGAGTGGCGAGGACTCGGTGAGAGGCAATTTGGGGAATGAAGAAAATGAGGACGAAAAAACCGAGCTGTCTTTGAGCGTGATGTTACTCGAACTGGGGATGGACAAGCTGAACTTTGAGAAGACTCAGATGTCCCCCATGTGGCAAACACTCGTGTCGGTAACTGATTTTGTTTACGCCGTGGGTTGCTCAACTACCATCAACCATGTCGCTTCTATGATAGATGACGTGTATCACGCAGTAATTACAGCCCCAGGGCCGAGGCACGTCAGAGTTGGATGTGGCGCTCGGCCAGCGGAATGTCCCTTTTTCTTTTATACTGTTTTGGGAGAAGCCCCATGCAGTATGAAGCAGTTCCCTGCAAGGTCGCATTGCGTTGGTGACCTTCAGGCAGTGTTCTCTCACTTGTTACGGATGAAAGAAATGCAGGAGTCAAAATGTTCTCGAAATCCGTTTCACTGGTCCATGCTTTTAGGGCACATGTGGTTTCTCACGAAGGGTGCGCATGGTAAGACTTTATCTTCTCCTATAGAGGGAAGGATGAACGACGCCATCGTTGCGGCAGTGGAGCTGTTTGTAGCCACTGCGGAAGGTGTCCTTCTAGCCATGTACGCCATGGAGCCACTACCACCCTTGTCAGTTCGGGGAGATGACATTGGCACAGTGACCGCTGTTCCGCGACACTTCACTCTAGAGGATGTGCTGCATGTCGCCAATCAGTTGTCGTTGTTGGCCTTTGACACGGATGTAGCTCCTTGCTTGTTTAGTGGCCAACTCACTCCGCGACATGACGTGCTTTTGGATGAGTACTGCGGTTGTCGCTATCACATTACTAAAGAAGAGTTGCAGCGGGCATGTCATTTGGCGTCAGAATCGCTCAAAGAACGCATTTCGACCTTCACAACTTATTCTGCCGTGCAATTGTTGAAACGGTCATCTCTTGGGATAACGTCCGTGTGGGGTCCAACTGGGGGCGAAAAAAGGCCGGAAAATGTCTCTCTCGCTTGTGTCATCGAAGACTGCACTCATTGGATAGAACGGTTTCTCACGATCCTGCTTCTGCCCCACTATGGGGTAGAGGAGGGAGCCGAGAACAATAACGCAAGCGGTCGTCGAAACGGTCCGCCTTATCGCATGATGGAGAGTCCCATTATTTCAACCTGGGTCCCCATGGCCAAAGCCGTTGTGTTTTCGGAGCACGTAAAGAATTTCCTTCTTCCCGCCTTGCAGGCGATTGCGCGAGAGCGGGAGTCGGTCTTTCGTGCGAAGGAAATTGGCGAGTCAGAGGCGCGAGAGGCACTGCGTCTCATGGAGGATAACTGCATCCAGCTTCAGCGGCGGTGTAAGCGGGCGGAAGCTCAACTGGCGCATCAACGGTGTGTGGCGCAAGAAGCCAAGCGGCGTAGCGATATCCTTCGTACACAACTCAATGAATCATGTAAGTGTTTGCAGACGCTGGTGAAGACATGTGTTGGGTATGAAGAGACACACAGAAGCTTCACACGTGAGTTAAGGTTCCGGCTAAAGCACGGATTTGCGACGGGTGAAATTACGCCTATGCCGGACTCACCACCGCAGTACCCGTGGAAACATGATCGCGAGATGGAAATGGATGCCCTTGTGACGACGCCATCGAAGAATGTTGTCTGTGAAAATTCTGCTGCAACCGAAAGGGAAATGACGGGGCCGTTGAGTGATGCTAAGAACGACGTTCCAGCAGAGGAAACACGGGGCCCATCACCGTTGCCATGTGAGCAGGTAGCACTTTTAAAACGAATGCTTCGCGAAGCACACCAGCAGCTGGAGGTCAGTTACAATACGCTGCTCTGTCTCTACGAGGATGCCCACGGGGCTCTTCGTAACCTGAGCACTGCGAGTGCCGAGTGTAGCAGCGTTAGTCTCAACGATTCGCGTCAGTCGTTCCTTTCCGTTTCGCAGCAAGCCACGCGTACCATGACGCCTGTCCGACGTACTGGTCGGTCTCTAAATACGTCTGTGGGCGACGCAGCGAGTGGGGACATCTCTGCAGTGAGTTTGGAGTCTACTCCGAAGAAGTCTGCCGCAGGGCGTGAGATTTCGTGCCATGGCGTTTGTCGGAGTGATGAAAGCCAAACGCTTCTGATCAAAGATTTCTCGAAATCACCTTCGCGGGAGCTCACTCAAATTGCATGTGCATCGCAGTGCACCGATGCTGTGCCTTCCACGGACCACATGCAGTTGCATAAGCGACAGCAACATGGCGCTGAGGGAAAACGTCGGCAGCAACGAAGGCCCTTTTCCACATGGACGGCAGCAGTGCCGCTTCCCCCCGTGCCGGATCTCGGCGTTAACTCCGCCGTCGATGCCATCGCCGATCTTCAACGCCAACGGCAGGAGGCTGTGGAAGCCCTCACCCAACTGTCAGGGCGGTATGAGGCAGTGAAGAGAGAATTAGATGAGAGGAATGCCGCAATTGCCGATGCAAACTGCAAACAGGAGATGGAAAAGGAGCAGTGGTGTGCGGAACGAGAGGCACTCCTGCAGCGGCTCTGCGCAGCCACAAATGAGAAGCATCTAGCAGAGAATGAATACCGGAGATGTCAAAAGGAGGTGGAGCGTTGGGCGCAGTCGTGGTTGGAAATGATGGCCAACTCCGCGGAAGAAGCAGAGAATATTTTTACTGGTGACGAAGGTATATACACTTTCGCCGTGAATGGTGGCGAGAATGGTGGAAAAGAGGAGGACGAGAAGCGTGTGAATGGCAAACACGAGACGATATCCATCTGCTTGAAGACTCCAGAGGAAGCTCTTCGCTCTGGAAAAATGCGGCTCCGAAGCCTCATGATGCAGGTGCAAGTAGCTGCGCGCGAGCGTATGAAGAACGTGGCGGAACGACACATTGTGGCGTTGCAAAGGGAAATTGAAGATGCGAGAGAACAAGTTTACAAGGAGGAGCTGCAGAAACGGGCCGATGCCACCGCCACCCTTCTTAAATCGAAAGAACGGGCGCAGATGGTAGAGGAAGTGAATCGTCTGCAGGAAGCCCTTGCAGTCATGCTGGAAAGAGAAGGGGCCTTACGGCTCGATCGTAATGAGCTCGCATTGCAGAAAGAAGACCTGTGGTGTCGTCTTCATCGTATGGAGAGTGCATACATGGCATTATTTAATGTGTGGGAAGACACAATGCTGAAGCGATGCGCATTTATTCTGTGGCAGTGGAGTTCACTTGTCATGGGCCTCTGTGAAGAAAACGCTGTTCTGAGTGCAAGGCTAAAACAGTCGCAGGCGGAAGTGCGATACCTCGAGGAAACTCTCCAGGGGCAAGCAGATGTTACTCAACAGGCAGCAGAGGAGATAAAACAAACGGCAATGCAGATGGAGAGGAATCGTGTCGCCCAATCAACTGCGGAGAAACGCGTTTCAGAGCTCCTTCGACGCCTAGAGCAGCTGGTCACACTCTACGGGATATCACTTGACACATGGGAACAGGCCATGGCGCAACGGTGCGAGCTCATTGTTGAGCACTGGAACGATAAATCACCTCATCATCTTTATCGCCAGCCAAAAACGGAACGCGAGTTGACCTCACGTGAGGAGCGTTCGCCGCAGAGAATAGAGACGCATGAACCCCGTGGACTTCTTCATGAATTGCAACAAAAGAAGCGACGCATTGCGAAGCTGGAGGAGGCCTTGCGTCAAAATAAAGTCCGGTGTGCAACGCTGGAGGAGGCGGTGGCTCAACTAAACGCACTGCTAAAGGCCCAGCGAGAACTGGGGATGGCGCCCCCGCCATCACCACCACTCATTTCGCAAGAATTCGGGGTATTGAATACGTTGCCCGCACGAACCGCCAATGTGGCTTCTTCGGTGGTGAATTCCTTCTATGCCTCCCCCAATCGTGCGTGTGAAACCAGCATGCGGGAATACTCCCTGTTGGGAGGTGTCACTGCAGGTTCCTCGCCAAGTGCAGGAAGCAAGCGTCCTGCGGTGTTCAGTGAGGCTTATCATGAGGTGGGCTCGGCGAGGGGTTTGGATGGGGAAGAAGATGCCTTGGAGCCGCGATCACTGAGTTGGTACCTGCAGTCATTCTCTGCCATTGAAAGTACCTTGTCACACTGACAGGAGCGAGGAAGGCGGTGGGAGGGTCTTTGTTTATTTTATTATTATTATTATTTTGCAACCCATCTTTATTCTGTATCTTTTTTGTTGTGTGTTGCGTTTGACTGTTTGTTGGCTCTTCTTTCTTTCATTTTTAATGGGTTTTTGTTTTTCTTTTTGCTGTTGAAAGGAACGTGGAGGTGACGCATTTGGCCGTGTGTGTGTGTGTTTGTTTTGGACAGGCTGCGTTGGGCGCAGGAGGAGAAACGGAGGGGAGGGCGTGACAAAACAGCCCGTGCGAACGATGAGCCACGTTCAGTGCACTAACCAGGTGTTAGCAAAAACAATTGAGTCGCTTCTCAACGGCCCCAAGTTTGCCGTTGTGTACTGTGGCAACCTGCAGTACAAAGTGTCTGTGGGCGACGTTATCGCGGTGCAGCGGCTCCGTGCGGAGATTGGGAGTTGCATTGCGCTCAAGAAGGTGCTGATGGTCGGTGGCCCCCGCTTCACGGCGATTGGCCGTCCGCTACTGACAGGCGTGCGCGTGACGGCGGATGTGGAGGAGCAGAAGCGGATGCGCAACATTGTGTCGCTTTTTGCTACGCCTGGCCGTCGGCGTGTGCGGTGGGTGGATGCGCCACATGCCGCTACAATTCTTCGCATACGTGAAATTCAGTACGCACCGCAGGTGGCAGGGGAACTGGATAAATACAACGGCATGCTGTTGAATGACTTTGCGCCGGAGAAGCACACAAATCCTGTGTACACAGCAGATGATGGCTTTGACGTATTTAGAAAGCGGGATAAGGAAGCGGTGGAGAACGCCAGTGCCTTCCTGGACCTCATGCGGTAATTGCTGCAAAAGAATACATGCATACGTACATTCATATTCACCGTACTCGTTGGGGCGAAAAAAAGGAAGGGAATAAAGAAGAATACAGCAGTTGGTTTATTGGCAGAAAGTGATTTGTCACTTTTTACCAAATGCATTTCCGCCTTTGGTTTTTTTGTTTTTCACATGGATAGCATGCGTTATTTATAGATTGACCCCGCCCTACACCCCTCATGTGATCTCTTCTTCTTCTGTTGCCGCTGCTTTTTCATCTGTCATTGAAAACCCAAAAAAAAAAAAAAAAAAAAGGACGAAGAGACCGATTTCTGTTTTTTATGATAATATCGGAGGCACAAGACGGCGTTGATACGGTGAAGTGCGTAGTCGCCAACGACCGTAAGTGCGATAGTAATTCTGGCAATGGTACTAACAGTGGCGACGTCGCTGGGGGATTTAAACCTGCGTCCCCAGAGGCATCCAATGCACCTGTCACGTCGTCCCAGCATTGTGCTATTCCCAAGTACAAAGTCATCATTGTCGGTGACTCTGGGGTTGGGAAAAGCAGCTTACTCTCTCGTTTTGCCAACAGCAGTTTTAACCTTGAAAAAAAGGCCACCGTTTTCTTGGAGTTTACCTCGGTTGAGCTGGAGGTGCCGGCGGCGCGGGTGGGTGAGAAGGAGCGTGTCATTGCACAGCTGTGTGACACCGCCGGGCAGGAGCGGTGTGCTGCGATCAGGTCAACCTTCTTCCGAGGTGCGGTGGGGGCTCTGCTTGTCTACGACGTAACGCAGGAAGAGACACTCTTACGGCTCTCCATGTGGTATGCCCATGTGCGGCGGTACGCGTGTGAGGACTGCGTATGCATTGTGTTGGGTAACAAGACGGATCTCCACAGCTCGCAATTTGTGTCAAAAGGCGCCGCGAATGATATCGTTAACCGGCTGGGCATGCGCCACATCACTGCTTCGGCCCTGAAAGGCAGTGGTGTCAGAGAGGCCTTTATGCAGCTGGTGTCGTCGATAAACGCCGTGCAGCGGGCGAAGCGAATTGCCGCCCAGAAACAGGAAGAAAAGGCGACAACGGCTGCCGCGCCACACCGATCGCTCGCTGATCCAGCGGCGGCGTCACTTCCGTGTGGAGGCAACCAAAGCAGTACTTTATTTCTTACTTCCCTCTCATCCTCAGCAGTATTCTCCTCAGCTTCGGCTCCCATCTCGATGAGTGGTGAGGGGAGGGACCGGCGCGGGTTTGCTGCTGTTTCTTTTGCTGTTGTTGGGGGTAGTGGTGGTGGTGGTAACACCCAAAGTGAAGAAAAGGCCGTCTCCCCCAATAAATGATGCTGCATTTGGTGGTGATCATGCAGAAGTGTGAAAAAAAAAAAAAAAAGAAGAAAAAAATTTTATTTTCACGTATAAATGTGATTTATGCGTTTTTCCCCAAAACTTCCTGTTATTTTTTTGCCCTTTCAGTTCCTCTATTTATTTATTTATTTATTTGTTTTTACCTTCTCTCAGTTTGTGCATATATACATATAATTTTTTCTTTTTTTTTTTTTTTTTTGCTCTCACTCTGTTTATTTGCGTGTGTGTTTGTACCGCTGGGGTTGCTGATTGACTTCTCGCGGGTCCGCAATTGTGTGAATGAAAGGAGGTAAATAACTTCTGTTTACTTCAAGGCATATTTTTTTTTTTTTTCTTGCATGGACACCCACATGTTTCTACCGCCTCTCATTTTTTCCTTCTCTTATTTTGGTGTGTTTGTGTGTGTTTATTTTATTTTATTTTTTTGATTGAAGTGTTCCCTGCTAAACGGCGGGTTTGTGGAGATGGCGCTTCATCTCACGCCACTGAAGCGCAGTCAGTTACTGGATCTAGGGAAGCTGGTGGAGTCGGTGTTGCATTCATCGTGCTCCTCCTCGCTTGTCTCCTCAGGTGGGATGTTGAGTGGTGGCAACGGCGTTGTCCACCAGGTTGATGCTAGCGTAGCCGAACACCCTTTTGCTTGTGGGGCCTTTTGTGACGTCTTCGAGGATCCCTTGACGCGAAACGCATGGCGCCTCTACGACAAGATGCTCTACCTTGTGTGGTGGTCCCACCGTCCGCCATGCTGCACCGAGTGTGGCATGCAGGATGCCTGGGTGCCTTCTGCGGATAGTGAAATGAAGTGCTGGCAGTGTGGTACGGGGGCCGGCACCACGTTTGTGAAGGACATTGTAGAAGATCTCCCCGCCTTGGAGAACGAGGACGGTGAGGAAGATGGTGACAGTGATGGTGGTGATTTAGCCGGGGAGGGTGGTGGGGGTGCCCACACTGCAGGCGGCGGCGGCGGCGGTGGAGGTCCAGTTGCATCGTACACATTTTTCTACGAATGGCTTTCTCATGTGCAGCTGATGGAGCGCGGGAAGGATGTGGTGCTTCCGGCGGGAGAGAGTCTTGCCGCCGTGCTGCGTGCTGCGTATGACCTGGCGCTGTTGTTTGTCATGCCCGGGTTGCCGACGACGGCGGTTGCAGTGTTGCAGGGTGGTGCGTTGTACCTGAGTCTTGTGCTCCATCGTTTTCCTGCACCGTTCCCGTTGTTTCGTTTGGCAGGCCGTGTGGATGTGTCGCAACAACCACACAGTGCTCATGCCACCGCCGCCTCGAGCACACGGTTGGCGGTGGGCAGGGAGGAGCAGAGGGAAGAGTTGCAGTGGGTCGACGTGGAGCTTCTCGCGGCACTCATTGGAGTCTCATTATCCGACTTTTTTGAATCTTCACAGGTGGCGGTGCAGTACTTACAAAATGTCATGACTGTAGCGGCGACCTTTGCCGTGCCCAGTGTGCTGTGGCACCCACAGCGTGTAGAAGGACGTGCAGAGTACATGATGACGTTGCGGCAGAGACGGCGGTGTTCTTCTTCACTTTACTCCACGGCGGTGTCGAGTGGCCTTTCACCGGAGCACACGGCGATGATTGTGGCATTGGAGCTCGCACGTGCATTTGACTCTCATCCTTGTGATTCCGTGGAACACACCGAACGCATCGGTGCGTGGTTGGATCGTCATGGCCTATATCCACAGCGCCAAGTCTATCACAAAAGTAGCAATATCAAAAACAAAAACAATAATAATAATAATGGGAATGATGGTAATTATTATTATTTCCATCATTCTTGTCAGGGTGTTCAACAGTCGCTGGGAAATGGTCATGAATCCGATAATTTGGCGACAACGAGTTCACCGTTAGCTGCCATTGATGACACGGCATGGTGGACATCACCGATCACCACTGAAACATCCCCCTTTGCCGGAACGATGCAGGCTGTCTTGTTGTCGCCCTGTGCAAATGCTCTTCTGTATGTGTTTGCGAGTGCCTTCTCGATGCCAGCGCTGGAGTTAGCGGAAATGGCGGTGAGCAGTGGGCTTTACAGTGGCCCAACGCGCTTCTTTGACACGTTGCGGCAGGCGGCACAGTCAGGCAACTACACACTCATGCCGCTCTCTCGGCGACTCTCGCCCATCATGTCTGTCTGGACGAGCGCCTACTTTGCTCTGCATTCCGAGGACCGATTGCCTCTTTTGGCTGCCCTGCAGCACATGCGCGCTGCAAATACTCGTGAGAAGGAAATATCTGTGGCACGTGTGGTGCAGCGCATTCTACGCAAACATCATGCGTCACGTCAATATCAGTTTAACTACTCCATACGCGTTGCGGACGACTCCGAGAAACAGCAGTTCAAGGGGGTGTACTTTCTTAGTTTTGTGACGGAGCGCTTTGCCGTCTACACGGGTATCCGCTCGGCGAGAAAGACGGTGACCTTTGATGCCGAGACAGGAAAAATTGCGCTCTGCATTATTGGCGCGAAGGAGCAGCAGGTGGAGTCGCTTGACGTTCAGTTCAACGGCCCAATTGTAGCCCAGATTGAGACAGAGAGTGCGAAATGTGTCATTGACTGCGTGTGCCAGTCGTTGGGTGCGGAACTTTGGCAAGTGACGGTGCGTCATTTGGATCGATGCGGTCGAGTGCGACGGCGCATGCGTGTTCCGATGCTCGCGTCGCGTCTCGATGCGTTGGCCTCTGTGCGTGAGGCGACAGCGATGGCATCTCACCCGATTGCGGGCCACACCACATTGCTGGGATGGGGCGAGACAGAGGTCCTCTTCACGTCGTTACCGGACGCGCACGACGCCGCGTACGCCGTGAGACTACGGCGGGAATTGCAGCAGAATCTCTTCTCTTTACCAAAACCGTCGCTTGTCTTTGGGATTTCGGAGAATCGTATCATTGCAATGTATGCCTCGCTGGTGGCGCTGCTGGAGCGCATTGAGCAGCAGCTCTCACAGCCTTTATTCGGTGCCGTCTCGTCGTTTTTGGTCTCCGCACAAAGAAGTGGCGGGTCCGCTGCAACATGGGTGGATGTTTTGTTGGGCGAGGAGGATGGGGGGGAGTCGGATGCGGTGCATGCAGGCGGGACACGTCGGCTCAAGGACACACCGCTCTCGCAAATGAATGGTGGCAGTGGTCTTCCGGAGAGCCCCATGCTCCTCCCCGCCTCCACAGCTGCATTGAAACTGGAACAGCAGCAACAACAACAACAACAACAGCAGCAGCATGGAGCATCGCGGCAAACCCCGCTGCGCAGTCGAGAGGTGAGGTCCGTCCCGACGTATCAAGAAGTCATGTTGGGACTCGCCGGCCATCCAGGGGGTGGCAGAAGCCGTTTGGTCCCAGGCGTCCGTGTCCGCGCCGCGCCACATCGTGATCGGCAGCCACGCCGTGCAGCGCAGCAGCAGTCGCCCCGACGGCTTGGCGGAGATGCGGGAGACGGGGTAGGTCACGCCCCATCAGCGGCGCCAGCGGGCCTGGATTGTGTCTCCTTTAACCTTTTTTGCGCCGAGGAATGTCGAAAGCGACTGTACCGCCTCCTGGAGTTTGTTGCAGTGTACACAGCGCGGCGGCGGAAGCGTGACAGGTCCTCCACCGCCGGTCACACGGAAGCAACGGTGGTTGCGGGTAATGGAGAGGCGGGTGCGGCAGTTCACGCGGCGGAGGCATTGATGACAGGCGTGAGGAAGGAGCTTCCCTCGCCGCGGCTGAATCACAACCCGCAGCAGCAGCCGTCAACACGTGAAAAGCCAACGCTGAGACACAATACACCGCCCACTCGGCACGGTGCAAACCCTTTGTTGATGCCGCAATCATCGCCCCGCCACGGCCCGTCGTCTGCCACGAAGCCGACTTCGCCCCCCTCGATTGCCCCTATACATAAGCCACATCACCACTGCCATTCGCGTCGTCAGCGTCGCTCGCGCCCTGCCCCTGGGGAAAGCAGCGATGACGGCGATCAGGACGGGCAAAGCCCCATCAGCTCCGTCGTGCTTCACGGCAGCAGCAGTGGTGGTGTGGAGGGATCGCCGTACTTGCGCAAGCGCAGTCGCGTGCAACATGATGAGGGGCGTCACGGTGGCGTCCACGAGGAGCAGACGCGAACGGTATCACCGCGATCTCCCTCTTCCTCCTCCTCCCTCTCTTCTTCGTCGTCTCTTTCCCGGTCATCGAGTGTTGGAAGTTCCTCCCTGGACACGGAGAGCAGCGCAAACCGACGGTCACACCGGCGAGGACGACGACGACGACGACGAAACGCGTAGGGCGTGTCTCCCTTGCATGAGTCTTTTGTTGGCGCTGCCACGCATGCGTGACTGAGCCTGGGCGACGGTACCAACTGAGGCCGATGATGATGGACGACGCAGTGGAGGGAATATTTTTTTCTAATGGAAAAAAAAAAAAAAAAGGGAAACAAGAAAGAAGATCAAGTGAACCAAACAAAGCCTAAGAAAAAATACATATATATTACACTTCTGCTAATGTTAAAGCCTTGTAACACAGAAGAAAAAAAAAGGGACGACGACCCTCTTGTAGAGTGTTTTGTTGCCACGAAGAAGGGGTGAGGTTGAGGAGAGGGAAAAAGGGGGACGGAGAAGAAACCGTGACGCGGCGGCAGCAAAATAAAAACAAAAATAAAAAATGTGAAATGCGGGGGCGGGGGCGGGGGCGGGGGGAAAAGCGGCGAGGGATGTGGAGAGCTCCACCATTCATGCATACATGACATCTATTTTTAAAACCACGTATTAAGTTAATTTTTATTTTATTTTATTATATATATATATATGTGTGTGTACATACATTTTCTCTTTTTGTTTGTGGTTGATCCACTGCTGGTGTTGTTGACTTCCCTCGTTCTTCCCTCCACTCCCTCTGTCTCTCTGCCTGCCTGCCTGCCTGCCTCTCTCTCTCTTTCTGTCTGTCTGTCTGTGTGTGTGTGTGCATGCATGCATTGCTGTGCAGCCACACTTCTTCCTATTTACTCATTACCAACAATTTTCCTTTTTTTTCTCTCTCTCTCATTCCTACTTGTCTAATTACTTACCCACGTGCTTACTTACCGAACCACTACTACTACTACATTAATACATAATAATACCCCCGTTTTGCCAGCATCTCCAGCAACCTCGCCCACCAACAAGCAGCGACACCTTAGACACCCGCACACGGCATTCAGAAGACGAAAGAAGAAAAAAAAGGGAAAAAAGAAAGTAGAACATTATATTGCAAATAAACAACAACTGAAGGGAAATTTGAAAAAAAAATAATAATAATAATAATAATTTATTTATTATTTCTTATTTATTGTGTGTGTTTTTGCTTGGATATCCAAGGAGGCAAAAGGAAAAAAAAAAAAAAAGGAGGTAAACACATTGACACTGAGATTAATAAGACATCTTCACAACAACAACAACAACAGCAGCAGCAGGAGGAGGAGGAATAGAGGGAGAGGGAGAGAAGTGTGTGTGGGTGACAGGGGGTAATAAAAGGGAAGAGAGAATTAAGGAATCAAAGGAAACATTCACAAATAAACCAAATATTTTTGTTATTTTTATTTTTATTAGAAAAGAACAAAACAACAATAATAATAATAAGAAGAAGAAGAAAAAAAAAAAAAACATGGACTTCGTTCTAAATACAATCCAGTGGCTTCGTGAAGTGCCTCGTAACTTTAAAGGAGAAGTCGCAACGGTGGTGTTTGATGATTCGGCTGACATCCTTGTCTACTGCTGTGTTTTATACATTCTTCTTGTATTTATGGTCCCTGAGCATATTATGAAGAACCGCGAGCCCTTTAATTTACGCCTGCCTTTTGTCGTTTGGAATATTGGCCTTTGTCTCTTTTCCATCTGCGGGGCGTACAGCTGTGTCAAAAACATGACCGCTCTTTATTGGGAACGCGGGTTCTACCGGACAACGTGTTTTTTTGATTCAAGCGTTGCCTACGATGGGGAGTTTGCATTTTGGGTCTTTTATTTTATTCTTTCTAAGATTCCAGAGATGATCGACACGGTCTTTCTTGTCTTTCAGAAAAAACCAGTGATCTTTTTACATTGGTATCATCACTTGACTGTTGCCATCTTTTGTTGGCATGCCGGACACGCGCTTATTCCTAGTGGACTGTGGTTTGCGACTATGAATTACTGCGTACATTCCATCATGTACTTTTATTACTTTATGTGTGCCTGTGGGATGCGCAAAGTTATTCGCCCTATTGCCCCTTTTATTACAATGATGCAACTTCTTCAAATGGTGGCAGGGACTCTTATCGTTTTGTACACAGCCTACCACTCGTACCTGAGTGAGAGTGGTTGCGAGGTGGATCGCACAAGCATTCGTCTGGGCCTTGTGATGTATGGCAGCTATTTTTTTCTCTTTGCCGTGCTCTTCGGTAAGCTGTACCTGAAAAAACAGGTGAAGCCGTCTGGTACCGCCAGTGCTTACGCAATGTCGAAGAAGCGGAATGGCGAGAAGATGGCGTAGTGGCAACTCAAGTGTTTTGGATGCCGATTGGTGTGGTTGGGGGATGGGTCTGGAGGTAAGCGAAGGGTTGTGTGTTATTTGTGGTTTCCTTCTTTACTTGTGTGTGTGTGTTTTCCCGTAGTTTTTCTCTTTTTTTTCTTCCCGACAGTTTTTTTTTCTTTTCTGTCTGTTTGTCGTATCACGTGGACAAGAGACATGCACACACACATATATATATATATATGCGTATGTGTGTATGTGTTGCTGGCTGGGCTGTGAGGTGGGGGCGGTTTTTTTTTTTTTTTTTTTTTTTTTTCTCCTTCTTCTTTTCAATTCTGTCAAGCGGTGTTGTGCGTGAGCAAACACACAAAAGGGTAAAAATGAAAACACACAGCCACACGTACTTACAGCCATTCAAAAACAACAAAATAAAATAAAAAACGGAAACGAGTTGCATGCATTTATTTTGTTTTTGTTTTATTATTATTATTATTTCTCTCTCTTTTTTTTTTTTTTTTTGGTTGTTTTTCTCAGTGCGAGCGGGTAAAAATAAAATACATTTTTTTTTTAAATGAACTTCCGCCCCTCCTTTTCTCTTTTCTCTTTTTTTTTCTTTTCTCCCAGTCTTTACGTCCGTGGTGCAGTTGCAGTCAAAAAAAGGGAAGTGAAAGGAGGGGATGGTTGGGCGGGTTAGGGTTAAAAAGTGCATGTGTGAGGAGCAGAGAGAGAGAGAGAGAGGAGGAAAGGAGGAAAGGAGGAGCCGCTTCTTTTTTTTTTTTTTTTATGTGGAGGTGTTGATTCCCACACATCTGGGCATTTGTGTGCATTGTGTATGTACGTGTATGCCTGGTCCTTATGCGTGTTGTTTATTTCGTTTTCTCTCTCTCTCTCTCTCTCTGTGTGTGTGTGTGTGTGTGCATGTGAATGAATATGCGAACGACAAGACAAACAAAAAAAAAAAACCTGAAGTAATAAAAATAAAATAAAAAATGGCTTCAGGTATTGAAATGCATTTATTTTTATTTTATATGCCTGTTTCCTTTTTTTTTTTCCTTTTTTTTTTTTTTTTTTTTTTTTTTGGATAGGGGGGGCAATCGGTTGTAATGCATGTATGCATGTCTGTGCTTATTCTTCCCCCCCCCCCCCCCCCTGGGGGGGGGGAAAGAGA